TTTGAGCTCTTTTCCTTCCCTGGTAATTTCATACGTATTTATGCCTCCCCTGGGCCATCCCAGAAGGCCTGGAATCTGTGGTTAGGATTTCTGTGAGACAAAGAACCATGGGGGAAATGTATAGTGTCCTTGTTTCTGTTCTTGGGGTCTAACTCTTTTAAAGTTCATGCAGCCCCCAGAGGGCATGGATTCCCCTGAAGATCTTATTGGAGGCTCCAGACTCAGTGCTGGTATCACTTGATGCAGAGGCTATTGGTCATCGCATGACCTCGGGTGCTCCAGAGGCAGCTGGAAGCGCCGTGGCACCCTGGAGGGCCAGGCCACCCACCACTTCGGTTTCAGGAAAATGGGAGAAGGTGGTGCTCCTCAAACCCTTTCTTCAGTTTCCTGTACCACCTACTGTTTTGTCATTTCACATATGTTGCTTTAGGTTTTGCTCGTTGGGGGTTTTGTTATGTTATCTTTGTTTCAAGGGTCTCTGGATTTATTTCTAGGTCAGGAATGGGGCAGCCATAGGCCAAAGGTTTTCTTTTGGAGGCAAAGTGTTTTTAGCCAGAGCTAAAGAAGTGACAAATAGAAGGAAGACTGGACTGTGGCCTTTCTTTGGGGTTACCCTCCTTCCAACTCCAGCTCCTCTTGATGCCATAGGTCATCTACAGTGACGTGTTACTGAGAAAGTAGATGTTTTGAGAAGTTTCTGCTTCCCCTAAACTACTAAACATTTAGTAGCCTAGAACTGGGTTTGGCTGGATCCTTTGCCTATACCTAGAAGAGGATATTTTGGTTCCCACCTGTGGGAACTTTGGCTGGGTATTGGGAACCACAAACAGTGTGTGTGGGGGGGGGTGTCAGGTTCCACCTGGGGGCTCTTGTGGGGACAGTCCTTCCACAAGGCAGGAGGCGAGTGACTCTGCCCCTTCAGCATCGGGGTTGATCCTTTTCTCTTTCTCAGAAGCCCTGGCAACCTTGGCTTGGAATCTGTGGGGGCCTGGATGGAAGGGAGTACGGCAGGCCTGGCCTTGCTGTCTGCATTGGCACACTTAGGTGCCCCCAAAAGCTCACATACTGGAATTCTGCCTCTTCCAAAGTAGAATTTTTTGAAGGGCAGTCTTGCCTTCTGGGTCTCAAAACAAGTGAGCAATTCCTGTAGGCAGAGACTGCTTATTCCAGCCCCAGCCAATTTGGGGTGGACAGAATATAAGTGTAATTAGGCCACTAGGGGTCTGAGAGGGTTATGTAACTTGGTGAAGTGGAAGATTCCTGTTACACAGTTTCCTTAAAGACGGGAACTTCTGAGGTGTGGGCAGTGTGCTGAAATGAAAAGCTGAAGGTGGTGAGAAAGACTCACGTAGCTAGAGCAGCAGCTGTGCAGGCAGTTGTGTGGCCTGAGCCCCGTGGGCTGAGTAATTGAATGAACGAGTTTTGTAAGATTGCCTGGTCTGCATGTTCTAAGGGCAGAAGTAAGAGAATTGAGTGGGCTCAGCCTGGGAAAAGACACGCGGACTCACCTGGGGCTGGTGGTTAGGGACATTGATTGAGATCTCGCATTTTGGAAAGACAGGCAGGTCCTTCTACCTCCCTGACTGGCCCTGGCACTTGGACTCCTCCCTGTCTCTAGTCTAGATGGGGGACTCATGACCTGAGTCATAGACCTTAGAGCTGTGGCCTTTCTGGAGCTGAGGTCATGAGACACTGGATGTGATCCAGAACAGACCTCTCAGTTGACAGACCAGGGAGGGTGAGTGATGTAGAGCATTTGGTTTTGGGGAACACAGAGAGCCAGGCTTGAATCCCTGCTCAGACAGAGTTGGGTTTAACTTTCCTGGGCCTTAGTTTTCCTCATCTTTAAATTGGGACTAAAATTGACCTGACAAAGTCTTATGAAAACAAAAGAAAATAATGCGTACACAGTGGCTGGCATTTGAGTATGAGATTTCAGTTCTAACTTGTGCTGTGCAAGCTGAAGCTCTCTGGGCCTCAGGGCAAAGGTGGCAGCAAACTGTGCCAAAGAGAAAGTCAGCAGGATTTATGTAGACCCAAGACCTTGATTTTGCCATCCTGAGACAAGAGGAAGGCTCTGTGAAACCTTTTCAGTCCACTTTTGCCGAATCGCGCCGTTGGATTTTATGTGGAGAGGCGCTGCCCTCTGTGTGTGCTATGGAAAGAAAAGCAGTGGCTTGTCGGTGGTGCTGGGCGCCCCATTCTTGAGGCAGACACATGAGGAGCCGGGCAGCGTTCCCAGGAGGAAAATCACACAAGTGGATAAAACAGCACCTGCTGCCTGACATTCCTCAGAATCATGGAAGCCAGGCTTCTGTTTCCTTCCTCAGCTCAGCCTAGATCCCCTGCTGCATGCAGCTCGGGCATTTCCTCTCTCCTTGTGGTCAGTCTTGCCAAACCCAGTTCTGAGTGGCTCCAGGATGGGTAGAGGATGTTAAAAGGGGGAATTTCTCTCTGGGCCTTTGAGAGTCACCCAGCTGTTAACAGGTTTGTTTCCTCCAGCTGCTGCCATTCTGTCTATCTTTCCTGTACCTCTCCGGGCAGAGGAAATCCGCAGGAGCCAGGTAGACGCCAGGTCTCTCTCTTCACTCTTCGGCTCTTTCATCCTTCCCCATTTCTTCCTTCCTCCTCCCGTCCCTCCACCACCCACCCACCCTTCCTTCCCTCTTT